TCTGTCTCAAAAAAAAAAAAAAAAGAGTTGGAGCGATAGCAGCTGTTCGTTGGGAGGCAGTCCTGTCAAGAGGGCAGTGGTGAGGAGAGTTACCTTAGCAATGGGGCCAGCCCGGGCAACAAGAAGTAGGAGCAGAAGCAGCTGCAGACTAAGACTCTGGAGGGCAAGTTCTAGGTCACCGTGTGGTCCTCAGATGAAAAAAAAAAAAAAAAGATTGATTATGAGACAGTGTTTAAAAAACAGATCATTGGAGAGAACTCGGCTCCTGGATTCAGAGTATATGACAGGAAAGAAAGAGGAGTACCTGGCATTGACCTCTCACACTCCAAACAACGGGCAGAATTTACTAGGATGAAGCCAAGAAAAGTTAAAGACTAATCTCCAAGAACAATAGGTTGCCCTCATAAAGATTGCAGAAAGATGTTCAGGAATTACTCTGCCATGAGAAAACATCTGCAGACTCACGGTCCCAGAGTCTAGTCTGTGTAGAATGTGGCAAATTTTGTTGGGAGCTCAAAATTAAAACACCACCAACTGGTTCCTACTGGAGTTTCCCATTCAGTGCATAAAGGCTGCAGAAAATACTTTTCACTGGACTTCAATTTGCACACACATGTGCAAATCCATACTGGAGACAGGCCCTATGTGTGCCCCTTCTATGGTTGTAATAAGTTTGCTCAAGTAGCTAACCTGAAATCTCACATCTTAACACATGCTAAGGCCAAAAACAAGCAGTGAAAAAAAGAGAAAGGTCCTTCTTGACCACAGGAAGCATCTTCCAGGAGTATGGTTAGGAATAAATCTGCTTCTCCCTTATATATTATTTCTAGGAAGAATTTTAAAAATGAATCCTACATACCTAAGGGACATGTTTTGATAAAGTAGTAAAAATTAAAAAAAAAAAAAAAACTTTAATGACATTGCTAAGATGCTCTATCTTACTCTATAACCTTGTTTCAGAAACACGGTGTTTTTGTTAAGTGTGGTCCCAACAGGAGGACAATTTGTAAACTTCGCATCAAAAGACAATTCTTTATACTACAGTGCTAAAAATAGGACTTCTACCTTCTTACAAATATGAAGCTCAGGTGTTGCTCACAATTTTTTTTTCCCCCAGATAGAGTCTCACTTTGTTACCCTCAGTAGAGTGTCGTGGGATCATAGCTCACAGCAACCTCCACCTCGTGGGCTCAAGTGACGCCTTTGCCACAGCCTCCCGAGTAGCTGGCACTAGAAGCAACCACCACAACACCCGGCTCAGCCTGGCTCAGGCTGGTCTCAAACTCATGAGCTCAGGCGATCCACCTGCCTCGGGCTCACAGAGTATTCCAAGTGTGCATATTGTACATTTTGGGGGGATATGCCTAGTAATGGGTGATTTTTCTGGAGGTGGTTAACTTTGCTTGCAGATTTTCTTTAAAAGAATAGACAGTTACATGCATACTTCAGAATATTTTCCTATAAAAAAAGTTACATGATGGGCTGTGCCTGTGGCTCAAAGGAGTAGGGCGCTGGACCCATATGCCAGAGGTGGCAGGTTCAAACCCAGCCCCAGCCAAAAACTGCAAAAAAAAATTACATGGGTTTTGTTTGCTATCTTAATTTTGGTTGTATTCTTTGATAACACATTTTATATAACTATCATATAGCTGTATTGAATCATGAAGTATCAAGTATTAGATGTGATTTAATTATATAGTATCAAACATTAGATATGATTTAATAGTGCTGATCAATTTAAACCTATTTTGGTTCGGCGCCTGTGGCTCAAGTGGCTAAGGCACCAGCCACATTCACCTAAGGTGGCTGGTTCAAATCCAGCCCAGGCCTGCCAAAACAACAA